TTATTTAATTTTTTGTCTTTTTGAAACAGGGTCTCCCTGTAGCTCCAGCTGTCCTGGAACTCACTATGTAGACCAGGCTGGCCTTGAACTCACTGAGATCCGCCTGCCTCTGCCTCCCAAGTGCTGGGACTACAGGCATGCGCCACTACACCCGGCTATCTTTTTTATTTTTCATTAATAGAAAAGAATCAGCAAGAATAAGTGACTCATATTAGGGAGTTTCAGGCTCTATCATGTCAGCTCTATCATGTCAAGAAGTCTCCTGAGGATCTCAGTAGCACAAGCCACAGAGGGTATGTGCTGATCTGAAACCATCTGAACCTCCTGCTGCACGTGGCTTTGGATCTATCTCCATGGCATCTTCTCTGGTCAACACTCATCTCTTGATCACAGGCCAACAGCATCATTGGCACTGCATTACTGACAGGTAACTTTGCCAGAATATTTGGTTGACTGACAGTCTTTTGAAAATATGATTAGTTTTCCTCTTGTGTGTATTAGCAACCTTGCAAAGATTCCGAAACTGCTGAAAACTACCTCATCACGGCTTTGGCATCTGAAGACCTTGATGCATGGAAACAATCTTCCACATAAGTTGATCCATCTTCTCTCCATATTTAAGAAAGCTTTGTTGTATCTTTCCCAACTCTGGGAAGTAAGAGTACCATGAGATAGGTCCTCACTGATGGATTGCCTTCATAGCTAAATGGGGAGTCATTTCTGAAAAGATGGTAATTAATCTAAATTTGTGCTACAAATGCCAATCCTGTCTTTCTTACTGCTTCACTGCCTTCTAACTTGAATAGACTCTTTATAATTGTGATGTGAAAGCCCTAAATTTAAAGCCAGGATGCTGTCTAGTGCCATATCCAACTGAAGGAGGCGACAGCCTGGCTTTCAAGTTAGAAAACTGCTGTAATCAGAGAAACCATTTGCTATCTGAACCATAGGATTCTGGTTTGGTTTCCTAGGCACATAGTAGATTAGATCCAATGCATTCTTGACAATCTCATACTTTAGCTCAGAAGTCTCTACATGAGACCCCAGATACCACGATGTTTTCTCCTCATGATTAGGGATGGCCTAGTCTAGTTTGACAAAAATGCCTCAAGTTAGAAAACTGCTACACAGCTAGGGAAACACATCCAGCAGCATGCCCAGTACATACACATTAGCAGTTGTTAAATTGAGCAGTGTTAGCTTTTGGAATATATTCTTTAGGAGGGACTACAGTATCTTCCTGAGAAAAGTGACTGATTTCCAAAGTGATCTACATTGTGTCTCATATAGCCATTTATAAAATTTCACTATGATTTAGTTTCTGCAACACATCTCATTCAGTCAGTCAGCAAGCATTTGAACTCCTACTCTGTTCCCAGGTACTGTTTCTGGCACTGTGGATACAGCACTGAAGGAAGAAATAAAAACTGTGCTATAGCACAGGAATGTCATGGTAGTAAGAAAAACCAACTGGGGAAGGGACCAGGACATGGAGAGCAGAAGCTGTGATTTCCACAATGGAAGAGAACTCAGTAATCTTAACCTCAAACCCACATTTCTGGAAACTTTAAGTGCAGTTCAATAACACCCACATAGGATGTCAGTCTGTACAGGTGGTCAGAAGGACAGGGTGCACACTCAATTTCTATCAATGATATTAAAAGGAGAGGGAGAGGGAGAAAAAAGAAAACCTGTAGAGTGTTTTACAACAGTCAATTTATTTCTAGAAAGTGTTGAATATTATTTCAGGTAACAGAGAAGCACTCATTACTACATAAGAAAAATGCTCTATTCAAATGTTGGCTAAACAGAGGAATGTTTCATGACGCTGATGCTGAAGAATGAGTTAGGTATTTGATTTCTTTCTTTCTTTTTTTTAATGGTTGTTAAGCACTTAGTTTTTTTAAAAAACTGCATCACAGAAGAACTGTAACCACAGTGAAAGCGTAGGGAGAGAAAACTAGTATGAGAAAGGAGACTTTTCTAGAAGCTAGACCATAAGGTATATATGTATCCTTTATTAAACTCTTCCACTAAGATGGACAAATAGGTGGCAACCTCACACCCAAACTGGCATCAAGTAACATGGCCTTGATAGATGGCATGTGTTGGGTTCCCACCAAAGACCTTTTAATCCTATCTCTGCATCCCATGGAACTTATCCTAACACTGGAACCATGCCACAGAAAAGACATCAAAGGAGGAAAGGCTACCACACTGTTTCCAAACCATGGCTGCTCATGATCTCTTGCCATTAAATTTTGATAAACTTATCCTATCAAGACACCAGAGTGCTAAAGATAAGCAGAAGATTTAAAAGTGTATGCAGAGGTAAGAGGGACAGCCCTGCTCAATCATCAGAAGCCAGCTAGGAGCTACTTTTCCAGCTGCAAGTGCTGCCCTGGCCAGATCACCTTTCTGATTGTTACTGTGGGTCCAGCAAATGGAGACCAATGCTCACATGCCTGCTCCTTTCATCACTGTCTTCTCCTACACCAAACCGTCTGGGGCTGATAGGCCATACAAGGGGCACAGCCCCTGGTGACTGGAAATGAGTGAAACTTACCCCATCTTTAATATGCAGACAGGCCAATAACTTGAGTCAAAGAAGAGTCCTTGACCCTTACCTGAGAGAACATAATCTAAAATAAGCCACAATAAGTAATTTGAATGACTTAAGTCAGAGACTAAGATAGGCAGCGCACCAGCCTTCTGCATGCTGCTCAAAGCCATCCAATTGGTGAAATCCAATCTCTTGCAGAGGTAAGAATGAACAGGCACACACATCATCTAAACATAAGACACATACAGTGTGACAAACGGACAAGGTGCAAACCAGCTATGACCTGGAGCTTCAGATACTACAGGTCCAATAACTACACTTTCACCTAAAAACCTGGTAACTGAGTTGGGAATTTTTATTGGTCCTGGATTTTCAGTTTTATCATTCTATTAACAGCAAACTTTAAATGTCTGCTTACTTAGAAATAGTAATTTACTGAGCACTTATACCTATTTCCTCCCTTTACTATTCCTTCCAATAGCTTTTCAATTAAATCTAATTAGTTGATTTTATTAAAAGAACAGGTGAAGACTGATACAAAACAATTTTAGATACTTCCACCTCTGCAAATTTGTGCAAGATAATTCCATCATCATCTTATTCCCAATAGTTTTAAGACACGATGGGGTGGGGGTGGAACTTCAAAAGAGTGAGAAATGGTAAGATTTAAGAAAAGTCCTGAGGTGTGCGCATACTTCACAGTGGTTAGGTACCACAGGAAAACAAGCCTCATCTTACTTTGCAGACACTCTTTCAGGGGAAGTACCCTTGTAAATATCTACCAATACATCTTTGCGAATTAGGAATGGAGACCCATTTTTTTTATGGATGTTCCTTTACCACTTCCTCATGATGGTAATCTAAGGCAAGAAAACTCATATATGTGTAGAAAATGTATTGATTCAGAGTTTGGAGTCAGCCTTTATGTATTTTAATTTTCTTAGTGTTTCCTTTAACACAAAGATTTTAGGTTTCTGTATATTATGTACAAATTTTAACAACAAAATCTGTAATTTTACCTTCAGTAGAAATTCTTGTAGTTCTTGGTGGGTTTTTGTTACTGTTGTGACTGAAAGATCAGACCAATTTACCTGATTTAAAAAAAACACACATATTATATGGTTATTGCTTAAGCAGGAACTGGCTAGAAAAAAAAAAGCCATGTGTAAAACAAAAGGCCTTAAATTTTATTAAGATTAGCAATTATAAATATAAAGTTCATCTGGCATTATCATAGTTTCTATAAAGATGTTATATTCACTGTACATTGACATTCTCAAAAAAGTTTTCTAGTAAGTCCTTTAAAATTGCATTTATATAAAAAAGCAGTATGAAAATATAACTAAGTTTTAGTAATTTTTCAGGAACTCATTTTTTAGAAATGTTTTATCTTCTTTAGAAATGTCATAAAAATGACACTATGACAGGATAGGTCTATACCCCCCTCCAATAAAAGTCCTGTCTACTGAAGTTTATTAAATACACAATCTTAAGTGAAATAGAGAGTGTATTCTGCCCCCTCTTTGGTAATATTTCATATTTTGGTGAGATTTATTATTTCTGAAGAGATTTCACCTTCATTTTAGATACTCAAAATCCTAGTAAGATGCTTGGGCAAATACGTTTACCTCCATTTTCAGATGGAGAAAGTAAAGCCCCAAAGCCTAACCTATGGGTGTTGGAAGACAGAAGCAGGCAGGAGTCCTGAGTTCAAGGCCAGTGTGGTCTACATAACTGAGTTCCAAGCCAGTCAGAGCTACATAGTGAGACCTTATTGCAAAAAAAGGGCTAACCTAACTAAGGTGTTATGGAAAATCACACAGGAGCTGGAACTACTGTGGCTAGTACTGTTGGCTGCACTGCTCTGCCTCCTGGACACTTCTAACTTTGTGGTCTTTAATTTGTACTGTATAATAATTTGAGTTAAGTAACTATTTGATATGTGCTAATATCTAAGCCTTACCAAATAATCATATCACAATTAATTAGACACTTAAAATACACATGAAATTTTATCTAGCAACCCTCTTTATTGACTGGTACATTTCTGAAACGACTTAAATATTCCAATGTTCACTTGGCAGCTACTTGGGTCAGTGGATACAGGAACAGACAAGACAACTGAAGTCTCTACTGGCTAAATTCAGTCTTGTGTCAGAGACAAATAATTAAACAAATATGTAAGAATTTCTATCAGTGATCAGTACTTCAAAGGTGATGAATAGGGCATGAAACAAGAGTAGCCGGAGGATTCAGAAAGCAAAGGAGGGAGCATTTGAGTCAGATGTTAGCTGTGGGTTGCTTCAGGGCAAGAGGACAGTATGCCTGAGTTTCAAGGGCAAAGAAAGCCAAATATGCAAAAAATTGAGATAGGTGGAGATTAGGAACAGAGACCTAAAAGTTAAGGATTCTTCTCCCTTAATACAGAAGTTAGAGTTTTGAAATTCAGTCAACAAATATACTGATCAAGTCACACACTATGGGATGGCAGAAGATGAAGATGCCTGTTCTCCAAAAGACGCCAACTGCTGGAAAGATCTGTGACAGGAGCAGACTGAAGATGAAGGAGGAAACATTATCAGAGGGTGAGAAGTATGTTCAGGAAAGAGGTATCTCTGATTCCTGTGGGGAGAAACAGAAGTGGTGCCACAGAGGAACGTGGCTTTGTTCCATGGAGCTACAGAATGTGTCTAAGGCTCAACAGTGAAGCTGCAGCAGGGAGAAGGAATCCATGTGAGGGTTAGGAGGTGAAAAGACCTGCAAAGTCTTATCCTGGCAGTAACAGAATCAGAGCTGTGCCTTGTGGTTAATCAGATGGCGGAGAGTGATTATAGGTGAGAAGACAAGGAACAAAGCAGGATGAAAAATATGCACAGCACAAGGAAAGGAATGAAAGGAGGGAAAGCAATGCCAAGACAGAGAGGGACAGTGGGCTTGAAATACTGGTAAAAATATTTGCTTTTTAAAGATACTCTCCTTAAATCTAAGCCCTTATTTATTTTTAATAAAATTGCCAAATAATTTCAGTGTGATACAATTTAAAGAAAACTTGGATAATCATGCAGTGCATAATTAAAACAGTACATTAAAAACAAACACAACTATCTACCCATTTATCTAGCTACCTATCCATCTATTCACCTATCAATCTGTATTTTCCTTTAAATGAGCAAACCTGTTGTTAGTTCTTCCAGAGATCACTTATTGTGGCAAGTGAGATATCTTTGGGGGGTGAGAATAGCTTACTTTGAAAGTGTACTCCCAATATTTGTCAGCCCTTTTTCTCTGGACTCCTTTCAACATTATCTTCTCAATGTGTACAGCTGAAAGAAAAAACACATGCTGACTTGTGTTACAGAGATTATACACGCGGTTCAGTTACCTGAAGTAATCCTACAACTTGACAAATGCCAGTAATTAAACTACTTAATTAATATTCACTACTGGTCTTAACTCTTGAAATAAGCTGAAGCACAGCTGTATCATCCATAAGGTTATTTTTTTCCCCCTTTTCCTATATACCATCAGGAGTGTCAAACAGCCCAAGAGCGTCAAACACTCTATTAACACCAATATATTTTCTTTAAGGGGGGCGGGGGTGATAATAAAAGATGCCTGCACCGAAGGCATCTTTTCTTAAGGATAATAATGAAAATTAGTATGCAAATTTAGGATCAACTAAATATGTATTAGTCATTCAATTATTTATATATAATAGGAATAAATTAGAAGACATCTTGCTTTTTTAAAAACAAGAAAAACTACTCAAAAAATAATATACCAAACTGACAAAAATTTCTATTTTCTCAAATATGATCCTTAATATATACTGGTAAATGCAGCAGAGAGTGAACAGTACAAGAAACTATGAAGATTCATTGTGGAAAAACTGTGCACAATTCATTACAGGAATAAAATACTGGCTACAGGTGACATTAAAGTTAAAAATAGGTATTCTCAATTATTAGGTAAGGAGTCTATTCATGAATTAAGCAAATATACAAACTTTTGGCCACTCATTTTATAGCTCCTTTAATAAATATGCCATCTTGGGAAATAAATCAATTGAAAAAATAAAAGCCAATCTGGAAAGACTCACTCTGTAAATTATAAGAGAAGGACTTAAAAACAACTGGACTGCTGCTTGGGGTATAAACAGAAGAAACCATACTTACTTGATGTGGAAGCTGTGACATCAGAGGCAGACAACAGGAATATGATAAAGGTGGCAGAGAAGAGGCTAGGGAAGCAACGAAACAGAGGGAGGGTGCCACAGCTGGACTGGGGCAGGGGGCAACATGGGGTTCATTTTGCTTAGGAAGAAGTTAAAATGACAAAAGCACAAATCAGGGAATGATGGTTACATACCACAGAAGGTTGGCAATGAGACAGCATGAAGCACAAGACAGAGAAATGCACAGGGAAACCATGCAAAGTCAACAAGAAGAGTGTTTACTAGCACTAGCACTGTGCCGACTTTCCAAATACATGGTATGGTAGCCTACTTTAGTCAGTCTCTCCGAACTTCATGGTTCGGAAATTCTGAAGATGAAGGAAAAAAAGAAAAATCTTAAACGCCAGATGAGAAGCTCTTCGCTCTCAGACCTGTGCAATGTTGTAAGGGCCAGTGTGGGATGGGAAGTTTCCAAAACTGTTACATTAAATCACTTAAAGGATGGTGCTATTAAATAAAACTTACTGAACTAATCTGTGTTGAGAAGTAGAGCATCTTGGGGCTGGCAGGTAGCTCCACTGGGCAGAGTGCTTGTCTAGTATGTGCAAAGCCCTGGGTTTGATCCCCAGCACAACACAGGCTGAGACAAGAAGATTTCAAATTTAAGCCCAGCTTGAATTATCTAGTATGATCTGTCTCAGGGGAAGAAAAAAAAAAGGAGAGGGAGAGGGAAAGGGAAAGGAAAAAAGAAGTTCTCCTGCTCCTACAAATCACTGAGTTCAATGGTGGGGGAACCTTGGCTTTGGCAGGTATTTTTCCTGTGTGTGTGCCTAGACAAGAAACCAACGTCAACTGTCTTCTTTGATCGTTTTCCACCTTAGTTTTTGAGGCAGGGTCTCTTACTGAACCTGGGGCTCACTGATTCCACTAGACTGGCTGGCTTGTCAATGAGCTCCAGGGATCTTCCTGTTGTCTCTCCAGCACTGGGATCATAGGCATGGATGTTGGAGATTTTATCTCAAGTTCTGATGCTTGAACACCAAGCACTTTACTGAATTATCTCCCCGGCCCCTAGAGGTTTCTTGTTTAGTGAAACAGAAAAAGTCATGCTGTTACAGGACTTGGGAATATGGCTCTTGCTTCAGCCTGGATTTCAAGGTATACCTGCTGTTATTTACCTTAACTCTCAGAAATTAAAACCAGATGGATATAAAACCAGTATTACATATACTTTTTAAAAAGTCAGAAATTTAAAAACAACCATCTATAGTACTATTTTATAATTAACTTAACATTTTGATACAGCCTTTATCTAAAATATTTTTATAAAAACAAACGAACCTTCATTATAGAATCCAGTTCTGTTTTAGGTTACTCATATGTTCAATGCGCTAAGTTCAAACAGTTCATGATTAAAGTAGTTTAGTTGGACAGGCATATTATGATCGTCTTGAACAAAGGTGAGAATTGCATAAACATTTTTTTCATCATGAAGACAGACCTAGTTTCCCTCATAGGGAAAATGCATCATATTAAAAGGATTATGACTAAGAGGAGGCACAGTGGCACAAACTGAGCTGTGAACTGAGTATGTGCTTACGTATCCTTGGCTCTTCTATAGCCTAGACAGCAGCTCACATTTTGTTTCAAATTTTCTCCCAATATGGACTCCCCAAGTGCAAAGAGAAAGGAAGATCTAAGTTCATTCTTTTTATATAGCAATGTGCTTTCATTCTCACATTCCATTCCTCTTTAAAACTGCATTTCTGCAGGAAGAGGATTTATAAGCAATTTCTTCATCCTCTTAGACACTGAGCACATTTACAGATAAAACACTACTCTAAATACTTCAGGAAGAGGATAAAGTCTTTGCCCCCCTGGAAGCAAGCAGGTTTAAGAGACAGCCAAAAAGAGAAATGCCTTTGAGACAGGCCAGATACGTGTGTTCAAGGCTGCACACT